AAAAAAAAACAAGCAAAAGGTAAACAAATTGACCCATACCGTTTGCTTTCTCATGTCATCGCCAAATTCCTTGACTTTCTCAAGATTTCGATTGCAGCCATCGTTGTAGGACATTGAATCAACGGGTGAAAGCTTTGGACGCAATGAAGCAGATGGACTGAAAGACAACAAGTGAAGAGTAAAGGAAAGGAACTTCGGTTTAAAGGAAACAGTGTATGCTGTAACAACGACAAAACGAATCCATCCTGGAGCAAATAATAGAACGCTTTCACAAAAAAGTATCTATTCAAAAGAGAGCAGCATTAACCTTTATGTGATTTTACTTTTTGGCATATTATTAGGCACTGCCACACATTATCTATAAAAACCCAAACTGCCCACTCTAGTGTTTCTGAGCCAGGTGGTTCAAAATAAAACGAGCGATCTGAAGGGTGAAGGGTATCCGTGTGAAAATTGATCACATCAGTCTTTCATTTAGTGTTTGTACGCTTTCTTTGTGGGAATAGAGACGTTTTTTGGCAAGGTAATATGATGACGAATGACATGACGATTTAGGTTGAAATACTAGTGCTCTACGAGTATAAACCAACCAGAATAGGTACAAGAGCGCTCAAAATTTGCGTATGTCGAGCGATTCCATTTGCTTTTTCCGCTTTTACTGTAGCCACTTAATTTTTTTAGGTAAGCCGAATTCTTACTCAGCTTAGTTCAGCATCAAAACGTCCTTCAAATTCTTTAAATTGTGCTCTTTTACAATGCTGTATCCAAGAAAAGTCCATACTCGAGCTTATAAGCAATAAGCGGATATTAAGACACATTCGCCGCTGAATCTAAAAGGCGCTGAAATTTGCTTTCCTTCACTTCATGTGAAAGTCTGACGTCAACTGTGTTATTTGAAAACCTGAAAAGGAAACACAGGCCTGAAACGATAGGCTGCTAAACGTAGTACGGAAGTAGGCAGAGATTAAGATTAAGTGAAACCCTACTATCAGCAGGACTTCAAGAACAGACTGTTCTTTTGGAAAACAACCAATATTTCGCTCTTCAGAACGACATCGACCATCAAAGGCATTCGTCTTTCACTCGTCACGAAACAAATGGTTAGTAGTAGCTGCAGGTAATAAAAAGCGGTACAGCAATTTTGAAAGGCAATGAATGTATCGGAGTGGCCTTTGATCAGTCATAGTCTATAGTCGGCGAGTACGAGACAAAGAACAGGGACTTGAGAGTGAGGCAATCGACAGGCCTCCTCTATTACGACAGTCACCAACCCGAGCAGACCGGCAGGAAAGGCCCCTCATAGAGGAGGAAAAAATATTCGAGTGTGATATGCCCTAGAAACGATTTCAGGGAAGATCAGCACACCTAGTAGGACGGATTCACTTAGGTGTGACCAAATGCGCCTGCATTTCAAGCCCAATGAAGTGATCTCAACACTGAACGAACTGAACTGTTCTAGGATTTGAATTTAGAGTGCTCAACTTACTTCTGAGGTTGCTGTTAGTTTTGGTATGAAGAACAGACCAAAGGCCAGAATCTTAGACGAAGTATAGTGAAATAAGTGACTCGCGTAGAATTCGAAGCGGCAGAAGAGGGATGGTGTTCCCGTTCAGTTCTGCAGATTCCTATTCAAGTTTGATATCCGCTTCGGATATCGCAAGAAAAAAAGGGAAAGGTTACACGCCTTCGACATGGAGCCTGCCTAAACCTATACGCCTTTCGATTGGCAATTTTGAACTTCAGAATTAGAAATTGAAGATTTATATCGTCGGTGATTAGCATAGCCTCAAAATAATGGGTCCATGTTGTAAAAACTCTGAGAATCGACAGAAGAGGCCTACGAACGGCTTCACCATTTCGCTCAACAACAAAAAAGACCAAAACAGCATAAACATGGACTCAAATGAATGATAACAAATACCAGCAGGAGCGTTAGCACGAGNGTTTTCAAGTGGCATGTGTAGGCGTCAGCTGTAGTGTACTCCCTGCAGGCTGCAACACTGGTCTTTGATTGACGCCTAATTTCTCTCCACCTTTTTGTTACTTTCACTTTTGCTTCGTCTTCACCTCCTTCTGTTCTAACATTTCTGATTGCATTTCCACTCTTAACTGACTTCATAATTAGTCTTCCTAATTCTACTTTGGCTTGTTTCATATTCGAATTTCACGAGGTCTCCTCCATAAAAGCGGCCTCCAGTAAAATTACGGCACTCCGAAACTTGCAACTGGAAATCGAACGTATAATTCACGAAAAATATGACGGAAATCCTAGTGATAGGGGAAAAATATCCTTTGTACAGGGAAAGTCGTAGTAAGTTGGTCCTGAAGAACAGGAGACCATTTATGTGATGGCAATACTCGTTTCCAAAGAATACGTCGACCGGTGAGGTATGGGAGTACGGGCCCTCTAAATAGAAGCTCCAACTGGCATTTATTACTAAGTTTTATTCTAAAATGAAAAAAAATGTACGATTAACTTGACGACACTTCACTGATCAGGACTTTGCCTTTATGAGGAAGTTGCTATCGCAACCAACAACCCTTCGGATGTGATCACCTCTGCCACTGAACTCTGCCCAACTTTTTTTTAGATCGGGAGGCTTCAGAAATCATGATAAAATGCCATGTCAATGGGGCACAACGACCATCCTTGGTAAGGGGCTAATCTCACGGTAAGCACTAGCCCATCTGGTCCCACATACTTGTACTGTACTTTACTGTGAACTATATTAATTGTGAGAACTAACCGTTGATCTTGATCGAGGGGTGAGGGGTAGAGGGGGTAGGAGGAATCTAGTAATTGACTGGAAATCAACACAACTATTAGACCCGTTCCCAGTACTGAACTGCTGAAGCTAACGATCCATCTGGGTGCGACCAACTGAGGCAACCCGGAGTTTAACCCCGGATCTTAAATCCAACTCAATTTCATTTTAGTTTTGTTCCCAACAAAGTAGAGAAAACCATATTATTGTGCATTTTAAACTATTTCAAAAATTCTTTATTCGATTGAGAATATTTATAATAAATATATGAAAGTACCCGTGATAATAATGGATACACCCGCTATATAAAGAGATCTACACTGGTTATACAATTCACGAAAAATCTCAATGCTAGGGAACGAATTCAGACTCTTCAAAATAAATAATCTCGGATTAGGCTTTGACTCGATGCGCCTGCTGTTGCGATGGCATGGGACGAAAATGGGGATGGCTGGGTGTCGATGGCGGTTGTGACGATGGCGGCGGTACCGGTCGTGCCAAGGAAGCCGTGCTCACTCTGTACAGCGGATGAGGTTCCAATTCTTGACGCATCAACGCTATCAGTACCATATCGGTATTGTAGACCGCTGAAAACAGTCCATCCCAGAGCTATCATAGCTGGTTTCGAGAAAAGTTCATACTTTTTCGGACACAAAGGAACGGGGATCGAGTTACAGAGGAGGAGGGTATCTATTTCACTACACTTCTGAAGCGCTTCCTCAACTTTTGGTAATTTCGACTGGTTTCCGCCCCACTCCCAGTTCATTTTAAATACAAGATAAAATTTTACTAAAAAGCAGGACGGAGTGCTTACAAGGATGAAGAAGTTCGAAGAAAACCCAGCAAATTTTCCATAAATTGATGTAAATAGTTAAACAAACTCACGAAAATTGCACTCCAATAAATACTGAACCATTCGTAAATCACATTCACAGCTGATCACGATATATGGCGCATCCGTCTCAATGCATCGCGCTAAATGACAAGAGCTATACAAAAGGCAAAACTAAAAATCGGACAAGTAATAATGTCTAATAAATCTTCGAATTTTTCCAAAAAACCGAGATCGAATACCAAAAATGAATCTGAGAGTGTCCCCACCTATATCAGCTGGAGCTGGACGATCTTCATGAACTATGCCACCAGCTAAACGGATCAATTTCGTTAGCACAGCACGACTTGGTTCCACTGATGGTGTTATGTAAAATTGAACATCCTAAACAATGTCTTGAAAGATGCGACTCGGGTCTAAACAGTTGTTGATAAACAAAACGGGAAAATGAGCAATTCTTCTCACGCGTGAAAAAGAAAATGAAAAAAAAAACATTGTGAAAAAACATTTCCTGAACCAAAACCTCACCTCAAACACTTTCTTATGTCGTGCCCTGACCACACTACGTTTACAATTGTAGCCCAAATGCCGTTCCTGGTCTTCATCATGTAGAAAGTAATCGAGCGTATCTGAAAGTAGTGTATAACAAAGACTGTTTTCGTCTGCTGGACAGAGGTGGTGTAGTGGCAAGTGGAGCACTACAAGCCACTTGGCCCTGGGGTTTCATCCCGAATGGAATACTCCCCTTACTTAGCCATCTACAATGGCTGGCCACCGTATGTCATAGTAAACCGACGCACGCATTCAACACATCCTTACCGTACTGAATGGAAGTCGAATGCGGTGCGCACCCCAAAAACGGTCCGAGTCTCGCCAAAGCCTTCGTATTTGATCCTTTATTCTAACCTTATGGTATAGAGATGGATATGTATGAAAGGGTAAGTTTCAGTGCGGAAGTATTCTGGGAAGGTCTACACTTACAACAAAGTAAAGCAATGAAAAGCGAGACCCACCCATCCACTGCCGACATTCATATCCATGGACTATCCAGTAGGGGTTCACTATGTTCTTCCCCAGACAAATCGCCTCCAACAGCCGCTCCGTGCGTCGACCATTTGTCGTTACCAGGTGTGTACATTCAGACACCTCCTCACACGCTCGTCCACCCAAATATCGTAGTTTCTAAACGAAAATATTTCATTACTGGTTGCATTAACTCAGCTTCACAGTAATTGAACAAAAATAACCTCGAGGACCTTCAAACTGGACTTTTAAGTTGAATTACCTGAGTTAGTACGTGTTTATTCTCATCGTCAATGCCGCTGAATGCAACCACGTACGCAGGATGCGCGTCACCGGCTTTTTTGTGTTCTTGTGCCTTCGCCGCGATTTCCGCTTCACTCGGAGGCGCTGATTGCATTCTTAAAAAGAATTGTTGTTTACATAGCAATCAGGGATTCAGATGAAAATCAGTTTTTCGGTTGGTGCCACACACATGTTGTGATATCGAATTTTCAGAAACGATGGACTGTAAACATCACAGTTATAAAACTACTCAGAGTAGAAGGAAAAGCTGTTGTCTGGAAAATCGAACGTTTAGAAAATGCAAACCTATCAACCTCTCGCATAAATAAACCAAGAGAAAGCAAAGACAAAATGAATTTGGTACCAACCTTAGCTTTTTATTTGGGAACACGCCCTCGTCATTCTCAACCGCCTGCTTGGTGTCAAACGAGCGCCGCCATTGTTCAGGGGATACGACCACTGGCATTTTCCACGCAACTAAAGGATTTTCAAAAGTTGTAATAATAAAACCAATTGCAGAAAAGGTTAGATCAAAAGCACGGGGAGTAGTACGCAGGAAAAACCCACGAAGAAGCTGTTTGAACTGATCGTTGATCATTTCCAAGGCATAAGGGCCAGGTGAAACACCTTCACATGGCTGGCCAAGCTGAAATGGAAATGTGTACTCGATTGATCATGAGTAGTATTCCAGAATTACCAACCTGATATCGCTGATTATCAGCATCTACCCTTTGACCAGCATAGTTATCAGCTAGCCACTGATAATTTACTACTTGAATATCCCATTCACGTGCTTTTTCTACTTTCTCCACTCCAGCCCTGAAATTTGTGAAAATAACAAAAACGACGAAAAAGAATTTAAAAATGAATTTTTGTTATCACACAAGGAACTCCGACCGAACTCAAGCAGAAAAGAACTATTAAATAAATAATCAACAAAAAANAAAAAATAAAATCGAAAGTTGAAAATAGAAGGACTAACGCTTTGGCAATCAGAAGATTGTTGTGACGGCTCAAGTAAGGCGTGAATCTCGCTCCCATCGCCTCCACCATGAATTTCATAGCAGCTCTTTCACTTTCGTCGAAACCAGAAAACGAAATCAACTAAAAGATCCACATTCAGGCAATTTTTCATACGAGAATCGAATTCACTCCAAGATGCTTCCTTTCCATTGGAAGGAACCCCGATACCTTGACAAAAACAAACCTTCCCCAATAGTGGTCTACAGCCATCTATGAAAACCGATGGCAGATGAGCATGTCGCCACGGTACATCCATTTGTTTTTTCATCAGCACATCCACTAACCATTGCATTGTTACCAGACGTTTGCGATCTTTCAAAGCCTAAAGAAGGTCACAATTAAGGTAGGAAAGCATAAGAAATTGAATATTCTGTCCGAAAGAATGGTAAGTTGCTTGAAATTCCTACCAAATGAGCATGCTGGGTCCTTATGGACTCCACTATAACGTGTGTAATTGCTCCAGCTCGCTCTGCATATGCTTTTGCTCCGAATTCAATATCTCCTCCATGCATTCGAATTGCCAATACAATATTTGGTAGATCCAATTTATCCGTGAAAATTCGGTCCATGTCGAACATGTGTAATACACAACCCGCAAGACAGATGTCCGGATGAACTAAATCATAAATTTTTTCATGAAAAAATTCACAGATAAACATTGGGCATCCCGGTTCTAAGCGTATAACGCGAAAATGAAGCGCGCGGTAGCGAGGCGGCTCTATGGGAGAGGGTGCCAACTAAAGGCGATAATGGGCTACTCACACAAGTCGAATTTTCGTTTCACGTCAGCGCAAATTGTACATTCGAATAATCGCTGGTTCAATAATTTCCAAAAAAAAATCAATAATTTTCCAGGCAACATCTACGAAAGGGTCTATTAATGGCCAATACCAATAATGAATAATTCCACTACCCTCGAGATTTAATATGGTCTAGTCTCCGCACAAAAATAGTAACTTACTACTATAGGAAGACCCGTTAAAGTGTATGAAATTGCAAAAGACCACAACAAAACATAAAGCTATCGATCAATCAAAAAAAAAAACAAATTTGTCAAATTGAAAGCTTACCATTCATAAGAAGATTTGGCTCATACGTGAAAAATTGACTAGGGATCACCGGTTGCTGAGGTGTTGGAACCATACGTATCGGTTGAGTGACTATATCACCTTGAAAAGAATATTTTAGAAGTAATGTATTTTTACTTACTAGTACATGCTAGCCACTAACATTATAAGCCCGGTTATCGATCCCCAAATAAAAATTAGTATGAAATCAAAAAATAGGGCCAATCAAAGATTGAGTAACAGGGGCGGAGCTTCCACAGGTATGGTTCCGGCCTACCGCGATGAGGGTGATGGGTTTAAAGCAGAACAAAGAGCAATATAGAGAGGTCGCAGCGTTTACGTCAATAATCCTTCCCTTGACTTCATGTGTAGTGGATTATCTTATTGAAAATTCCATTTGTGAGGACTCTTTGTATGCACTCATTATTATTGAGATTTCGCTGACATCGAAGTTCTTCTACACGAGCTCATGCTACCAACAAGGAGTACACTCAGAGTACAACCTCCAGACAACCAAAGATCACTGGGAATCCTCAAATTCTAACATTCGGCTTTATTAAAATTGGATTTCGTTTTTGTTTTCGGAGACATTGAATTGTTTAGGGTCTGCACCGTGGAGGTATGCTTGTTGACCGTTCTCGTTTGCTGGCCGGAGGAATCTCAAAAACAAAATATTCTGGGAGAAAATAAACGGCAGGGTAGAACTTCCAGTTTTTGATCAGCTTTTTTTCTTCAACAGAAACTTTCAAAATTTTAATCGTTTACATACCATTACTCATCGGACGTGGCATGGCTGCTTGTGGAGCCATCGGCGCCTGTGTTGGCGACATCAGCGGTGGCGATCTCATATCGGCCGCGTAATGAGGTGATGCTGTCGGCTGAGAAAACCGCGATCCTGCAATGTACCACACGATGCTATGGGCTTAGTGATTAAGCCAAAAGAAAATATAAAAAACACAAATAAATTAATTTGTTTACGACGAGAAGGCGGATGACTACCAGTATCGAATGATTTTATTTGAAATTAATTGTAAATAGTGGTGGAGAAGACACGAACATTCGATTGGAGGTTGCTAAAATAGGCCGTCACACAGCCGTCTATGCACTGAATGCTTCTAGCCAGAGAAAAGGAGCTAACATTTGCATTGCGCTTTTTGTTTAGCTATTCTCTTTCATACGCGACACTCCACGTCCTCGGATGATTAATGCATCACTCTCGATTTTCTCATCACACCAAACCTCCACCCAATTTGCATGTGGTCACAGTAAACTAGAAACCAAACAGGACTCTACGAATTCTTCTTAGAGGAAATTCTGCTGTATTCAATTCAGCCTCCGAGACATCAATAAATGAATCGAATAGTGGAAATTATTTGCACCAGTCGACGGAGATAGGGATTTGTTCTCCCCCAAGTTCTCAAAAACATTTTGGAAAATTGTTGTAGGGGAGATCGAGCTCGATTTTTTGAAGAATAAAGAAGTATCAACTGCATCTTTAGATATACGTGAAGCGTAGGGCTCCTTCAAAAAACCCCGTAAGCCACTAAAAATATAAAAAGGGGAAGCTCCCAACGAAAGAACGACAACACCAAATAATCAAGTTGTCCGCGATGATCTACTTTCAACATAAACTGGATCTGAGAGGGGGCCAATGTTCTTTGGCCCCTCATAATCTAACTTTTTAAGTTGGGGATAGATGGCAATGTTTGACGGAGAGTCTTAAGTTTATAGAGTGTCAGTTGGATCATAAATATCGGCAAACCAATGGCGATCACCCGATCAGAAGGAGGGTTACGTAACTTAGCTACACTTATTGGCTTTACGTTCGGTTTCAACAATCAGCTGCAACTATCAAGCAATTTCTGACCATATTTTGAAATCGAATCGAAGACTCGAATAAAAAGGATAACTGGAAATAANAATAATCAAAATGTAGGAAGAAGAATTCGGAGAAATCAATGAACGTCACTGTCAAAATGAGGCCCAAGTATATTTAAGATTCAGAGCCACTCTAAATGCATAGCTTTTCCTCTCCAAGACGGCCATGTGTAAAAAAAGAAAGAAAGATTACTCATGTGAAACATTGAGTGGATCGTTTTAAGATCTAATAGAACAACTTCCGAGGCAGTATAACCCTCTGGCTTCCTGACAAGTCAGCCCATCCCTTTTAAGCCCATGGATATGTGGAGGTGACTACCTCCTAGAGAACTGTCTGTCTTGCCCGCTCGAAAAGCAGAAGGAATGTTTCTCTTTGAAAGTCAAGGTCTACATAAAAGGACGTCAATATCGGAGAGCAGACTTGCGAAAAGGCCAGATGCATTGTGCTGAAGTGCTACGGATCTACGAGACTCCTAAAAACAAGACTTCGTCAGCAGCAGCCAGGAAAATGACGCGCTGCATGACAATAACAAACGACTCACGAGGCCTCTTTCCGTCAGTTTACATGGCCTAAACAGATGCTTATCGACTGTTACCCAGCCGTAAATGGTAAAAGGTCAAAGCGGTTGGTGCGAAACAATCTCTTAAGGGGTAAGCCGTGCAGTCAGAATCACGCGCTGTTTGGAAGGGTGCATGTCTCATACAATAAATTCAGGGATGTAGCCATATAAAGAATTTGGTTTTGCTACGATCTAATCGACTTCTAAATAATTTAGAGCTTCGCATGCCAAACATAGAATCCGATCCAGAGCCCCTGCATTTAATAAAGGCGACTATAGCCGCTGAACCAGGGCAGTACTGTCTCATAGAGCTGTTACAATTTAAAAAATAAGATTTTTCGAAGAACAAATTCATATGTTATGCAAACATACCGTTAGGCGTATAGGGCGGTTGCGGAGTTTGCGGAGTATGAGGTTGTGGAGCAGCGCCAGTAGCGTAAACTGAAATAAACAGATTCGTCTGTCAGAGGTAACTCAGAATAAGAGACCTACACCAAGAAAACAACCCCCCTTATGTCCATCACTCTTAAATGCAATGCTTGCGAAAAAATCACTCAACTAGTGCTATTTGAATAGGCATTCTTCAACTATGAAGCCATTAACAAAGCACTTTTGTGCATCACAGATCATCATCATGCTTTTTCAGGTTTGATTAATTAACCAAAAGTCCTCAGACTTGATTAGAAAAACCCAAAGACTGAGTTTGATGGGATTTTTTCGTCCATTTCGATTGGTACAGAGAGAGAACACTTCAACGCAGTTTGCCCGGAGAATCAGTAGGCTGAAGCCATGTGAGCTATCAGTTTTACCAAAAAAAGTAATAATTATTGCGATGTATCGATCGAATTATGCACCTTCACCGACTGAAGACACAGATCAACACAATCGATTTGACCAGCCAATCAACAATAATAAGTCCGTGATATCTTTTCGCGCTATACTGCTTTATTATTTCTACTATAAGAAGTTTGTCTATACAATAAGGTTGAGAAGCACTAACATAAACATACCGAACTACATCGCACTGATATAATGTGTTAAATATAATAACATTATAAGTAGTACGCATGGGTCATACGCCTGCTATGATAGATTTTCGAAGAAGTTTTTGAAGGAGTACTTAAATCAATCTGTTCNTCACTTAAGGGGGGGGGGGCATTTCTAACTGATTAATAAATGTAAGGAATGAGGGCCCGGCGTAAACCGGGCAGCCCAACTGGTAACATTATAAGTAGTACGCATGGGTCATACGCCTGCTATGATAGATTTTCGAAGAAGTTTTTGAAGGAGTACTTAAATCAATCTGTTCGGTGAAGGCAACCATCTAATCTTGGTTTGTAAGCAGTTACCTTCCACATCGTCCTCCGACAGCGAGACTGCTGTTTTATGGACGCTGCTAAATATTCTTAGCCATCGTAACTTCATGATGATGAGAGTGTAACACAAGAATTTACAGTTGAATGTCCAAGTAAAGGATTTTATAGGCAAGCGTCAACCTATAAGGACTCACTCTTGCGCCTGGACAAAGTCCCACATTGGAGAGCTCAGTAGGTCTACAGAACCTAATTATCGGAAAATGAGGAACTTGAGACAGCTTCCTGAGTAAGGCCTCTTAGCTTACAATTTTATCACAAATGAAATTTCATGGGTGTTAATCCTTCCGCCGAATCTTCGACCGTAACCTTTGTACCTCTCACGAGCTTATCGTACTTGTTCTCCCAGATTAGAGCTGAAGAAATATTTCGCAGCTGAGAAGTACATATTAAGTAAGTAAAATAATTTGATAGAAATTTTGTAAAAATAAAATACAAAAAATGAGTAAGAACGATCAGGAAAGCTTCGTCGTCAAGTGAATCCCCATGCTAACAGACCGTATAGACGAGCTTTGACTTTTTCAATGGCATTAACATCGTACCGCACTAAGCAACTTCACATTGCCATAGTAATGCACTTACTATGCGAACGGCGAGAATACAGACTGAGCTTCAAATAAAAAGAACTCTAACGGAGAGTATTTCCAAGAGTGAAACCTCAAACCAGCTTCTGTAATATGCCCTGCTTAATCAAATTATCTCTTCTTCGGAACATTTCAACTCCAAGAATCATTAGGTTAACTAGTGAATTGTAATAAATCACAAATCTTTGCCAGAAATCAGAAATCAGAAAATACTTAGGCGCACTCAGAGGATCTCTGGGGAGGCCTGGTAATACTTATCAGATGATATGGGGGTCCCTACAATCTTATGTGCTGAACAAGGGATGAATTGATTAGGCAAGTTTTTCCAATAGTTAATTGGGTGTTTCACTACTGTAACTAGCCCTTCAGATGCGGTGTGAAGGCCTTCCATAATTTTCGTCCAGTTTGTTTTGCAGAATGTAGCCCGCCTTCGGATGTAGAAAAAGATAATCAACTAAAAAACAAAATTTCAGAGCATTCGTTATATTCCGATGCTTAATGCACAGTTGCCCACTTTTTAAATTCATTTACAAGGTCGCGATGCTAAACAGAGGAAAAACCCCATCTCATCTTTGAACGTTTTAAATCTATTGCTTCAATTCTCCCTCCAACGACTTACACTAAATTCATTTTCCTCTAATGGAAGGGTATTGGAAATCGACCAGAAATTCGTTCAGCTTCAGAATATTTCAGAATATCGTACGGGCGATGAAGTTTGCCTTGAAAATTCAATCAAAGTTACACATCTGCAAACTACTATGTAGCAAAAAAGCTTATACGCTCATCAATCAACTACTC